TATTATTATTATTATTATTATTGTACATAAATATAAAATACTTAAATATTAAATATAATAGATTGTTTCTATTTTATGAATGTTCTTTTATTCTGAGACAGCGTTTCTTTAAATCAGAATTATTCTCACTGTACGTTCAATGCATGTATAATTGTTATACATAATCCATAGAATGAAACGAGTAAAAAAATAATATGCAAAAATTTTTTTTGTATTTTGAAATAGGTTTAGAGATTGACGAAAGTCCAAATTAAAAAAAATTATATTGCAATCTCTTCATGTAATTGACGGTGCAACAGTTTTTCATTCTCTGCATGTTGCTCTGAATAAAGATGATTGCGTAGCTGTAATAGGCCAAACGTTTCCGTTCCACATAATTTACAAAAAGCAGCCACGTTTCTCACTACACTTGCATCTCTGATGAAAAAAGAAAGAAAATATATAAAATATAATTTTAATAATATTAGATGTAGTAAAAAGAAATCCATTATTTTTGCCATTATTTTTCATGAAATTGAATGGAAAAATAATGGATTTCTTTTTACTACACCTAATATACATGAAAATATAAATATCTACGTACTCATAGGCAAGACTCTGTAATTGTGAAAGATGCTTCAGCATTTCCTCCATCTGTTCATTTGTTTCACGTAATTCTAATGCTTTATGTAACGGATATACATCGCCTCTTCTCACATTTTCTCGAACGGATGGCAAAAAATGTGGTCCGTTATAGCGATTCCACTTATCATTAAGCTGATCGATCTCGTCATCTTCTGGATTTCGTGATTGTCTTTGTTTCTCTTTTAGTTCAAGTAAAATGTGTTTGATTTTATTTTGATAAAGTATAATATCTTCATCACTGGAGTTATCTAGTTGCATTGCAGTATTCATCCAATGACGTAATTTATTTATCTGTAAAAATTAATTATCTAATATTATCATTTTGCTATTGTAATAATAATTGAAAAAGGTCACAATTATAAGCTATCTATAAAGATAATGAAGAGTTTAATATCGATAGCGGAAAATGAATAATCTAACATAATATACAGGCAATCATATGACAAATTGTAAATTATCGGATTATTGTTTAGAGATGATAATACCTCTTTCACATCATCTATCGTGATTTCAACGTCAAATTGAATTTCTATGTCATGATCGGGAAATATAGCCCGATTAGTGAAATTATCCTTCGGACCCAAACCGCATAAAGCCCCTGTATAATAAGTCCTCCGAGAATTACATCTCAATTCCATACGCGGTGCAAAACTCAGCGTGAGCAGTGCCGCGAGTCCAGGAATATTTGGCAAGAAAGTAGTATTTCTCAATGTTAGAGAATTTTTATTCGACTGTGTAGTGCTTTGAGCAATTAAAAGACGTCTTGATTGATTAAGATCATCATCCAAGAGGACAGAATTGACAGACTTCATATCTACATTTATCTTTTTCAATCTTCCACCTAATGTCAACTGAATCAATTCCATTTCTAAGGGAGAAAATGGACCTTGGAGATTTACGCTGGAGGTGCAATCTTCTTCTTTAGGTGGTTTAGGATACTAGTATCATGGTCAAAATTAATTTTTTTTGCATATGTTAATTTAATTCGACTTAGAGTTACTATAAATTAAATTTTTATGCGAAATTCAATTCACTTACTTCCATTAATTCATGTTTGTCATATTGTTTCTCTTCGTAAAACTGTTTCTCTTCTATCGACATTGCACTAATATTTGCCCTTAATTCGTGATTCTGCTGTGACACATAGCTTTCTTCTCTCTTTATAGCATATCCTTTCTCAATTAAAGCTTCATTAACATTAAAGCTCTCCTCTTTCTCATTAACAACGATCAATTCTAAATTAATAACGCTATCAACAATCGAATAAATTTTTCCCAATATCTTCTTGGTTTTCTTAATTTGTGTCAAAAAATAATTTTTCGATCTTTCCGACCATTGACCATGAAGATTGTGTTGATTCGAAGGTCGCAAAAAAGTCAAATTACAACGAAATGCTAAAGGAGGAATTGCTAAAATTGTAGTACTATCAATTTTTCTTAGATCACTAAATCGTATTCTAGAGAAACGACCGTAATCGATAAACAAAACATCGACCAGTTCTCCGATTTCTGAAATATATTCTTTAATTATAGCACGATGGTAAACCAAAGAATCATTCTCTTCTACGGGAGCAGCGATTATGGTCGAGATTTTTGGGATAGAGAGCAATTTTTTCAAGGGGCGTTTATTGAGTATTTCTTGTATAACTCGTAATTCACTACGAGTAGTATCATCATCAATAGTTGCCCAGAAAGATCCAGGGCTAATGATCTAAAAAAAAAATACATATAATTTATACAAAAAAAGTATATATA